GGTTATCTAGTTTTCCAAGTCGCGACTTCTAGGACAACGTGATAGTTTCGGTGCGCGTCTGGGCAAATCCTTTACAGTGATTGTCACTGGTGATTTCGACAGACAACCTGTTGACTCGGGGTAAATGTGCAACTACTATCTTTTCACTGAACTTTCCATCCCGTCCTGTATCATTTTTAGAGCCATCGGTCCGTTGAGACGCAGCCCCTGGAGGTGGAAGTTGACCCGAGGTCTGCATGCGTTCTGAAAGTCTACACGGATATGCAGCTGCTTCGGGACAACCTCACAAGGCAGCCCTTTGCGTTGACTGATAAGATGGATGAGGCGGACATACTCTGGCTGAATCAACATTACAAGGATTTTCGGTAAGTTGAACGATTTCATGTTTCTGTATGCTTTCCAGTCAGTTGGGGTTCCTCTACATCCGCAGGCCTCCGCTGTATGTGTAACCACAGTAAACCAGATAAGGTCTGAGGAATACTCAGCGAATCAAGAACCGGAGACCTCTAAGACGTCAAAGTTAGGTATGCTTGTGTATTTCAGAGAACCCCTTCATCGTTCACGTCAGATATGAACATCTGTCACCTGGCAGTGGCCAGAATGAAGCTCTAGCTCAGATGAACCATCTGTCAGAAGAATGAAGGGCCTCCGAGAAGCTGGTTGGTGGAAAGGCTATCTGGTCAAACATATGGACAGCAGTGGGAGAGAGAGAGCACGAACCTTCAAGATTCAAGGGGAAAGTGAACTGATGAGAGAGAGAAGAGAGGGCGGGACAGAAGACGGAATTCTACTTTAAAACATCACTCCATCTAGGATGGAGGCCAATGTCCTGTGCTGTGACTGCTGTGTGAGGTTTGTCGCCATAACTGCTACAGCCTCCACATCTGACCATGGGTTTTAAGGAGTCTAGTGTGTCGGAATGTTTTAGCAGTTTATGCTGACTAATCCTTCTGAGTGCCTTCTGGCACGGTCACCAGCGGTTGCTTATTTCATATCGCGGCATCTAAGAGCAGTCTCTTGAATAGCGGAGGTCGAAAGAGTCCCAAATGCCGCGGTAATCGCTATTGACATCTACGATGTTTCACCATAACGTGCAGATTGCTAGATTCCCAGATGTGGAATCATTTCCGTTACTGGAGAATTTTAGTTTAAATGAAGTTTCCTCCATAAAATATCTGTTGGCATCTTATACACACATCCTACCAAGCGACAGTTCGACCGTCGATTTCGACAATGTCCCCTGCCTGCATCAGCAAGCTGAAGGCAGACGTGGGGACTTACGGGGGATGGAGGTTATTTTTAAGTGTAAGTAGACTTGCGTTCCGTCTCCTGAACTCTCTCCCTCTTCCCCAACGTGGACCCGGTGTCATGACGAAGTCAAGAAGACCGGACAGGGGAAAGGTCGCAGGTGGCTGGCATTGCCGTTACCGCCCCCTAAGCTTGCTGCCACATTCGGTTCGGGCCCCACGGAGTGAGCGCGCTTTAAAAGCCACATGAAGAAGGATCTATTACAGCTAGACTCCATCCGCGGTC